CTCATCTCATCTCATCTCATCTCATCTCATCTCATCTCATCTAATCTAATCTAATATATTGAGTCTTGGATACTATAATTTTCGCTTTGACAAACAATGCATTGCGCGCTTGTCAAATATATAAATATATGTCTGTCTTGAATCAAGCTTAAATATCCAAATATGGTATCAAACTGGCTAGCTCCTAATTTGCATATGTGGTATAACCATGTCTCATATGTAATATATCCATAACAGTAAATTAGTACGACGTATGAGTACGTATAGTATGCTTTCCGCATATATTAAGCTTTCTTTTTTGAAGCTTTTTTGAGAAATTTTTAATGTGACCAGACTGAATGTGAGTTAAGGTGGATCAAAACTAATTCAGAGCGAAGTTTGGAAAATTTTATTCTAGCTCGCTTCGCAAAACTAGTGCGTCAATTTAACAGTGTATTTCATTTTAAGATTTTTTACGTGTTTAGCCTATTGTGGCCGTCAATTTAACTGGATCTTTCATATGATGTATTTTGATTATCCCAGATTTTAACAGTTTATTTTATTTTAAGATTTTTTAGCCTATATTATGGCCGAAATTCAAACAGTGTTATTTTTAGTTTTTGGCTTTTTTCTCCTCATCCTTAGGTACGATTTTTCTGAAATTTTTAGAATCTTATAAACTCATGGAATAAATGTGTTTTTTTACTAATGGTCGTGGTAAACCTCGAATATGAGAGTTTTGCTAAAAATCACATTTTCGCATCTAAAAATCACATTTTCTTATAAGACTTCCTACATCAATAGACCAGGGTCCGTTTGTACGAAGCCTGGATAGCGCTATCCGGCGGATAAATCCTTATCCAGTGGATAAGTCGATGCTGTTATCCAATAATTTTATCCACTGCATAAGATTTATCCGTCGGATAGCGCTATCCAGGCTTCGTACAACCGGGCCCAGAGCTTTATCTAGATGGTAGTGAAATTTCCACACCTCGTCCTATCCGAACTTTGTAGAAAACGTTTTTTAAAGTGAGGTGTACTTAAAGATAAATTGACCCATCCGCTTGATCGAACTTAGTAATTATGTTAATTAGCTTGCCTACCTTACTATTCATTTCCCAAAAAATATTGTAGTTGTTGTTGTTGCTATGAAGGAAAATGTTTAGCTTAGACTTTGATAAATTAACTTACCGTTCACCACTGAAAATCTTGAAAAATCTTGAGCTTTTGTATCTATATAACTAGTGAATAAATTCAATGCTTCCTGCAAGAAGCCTGCAGAGTCTCTCTTTCCTTAATTGAATCACAACATTTTTCGCCATTTTGACGACAAAAAAACTTAATTTATATCTTAAATTTCGCTTTCATCAACAGTCTAGCTGTTGCCAAAACCGATAAAGATACGGTTAAGTGTGTTAAATTTACGGTTTCAACCGATCAACATCGTTTAACCACAAATGCAGAGCAAAGCTAAGAAAGACAAACAACTTTACAATTCCAAGAAAAGACGCTGTGACGCAGAAAGATTACCAAATATGGTGATGCATACATACTCTATATTAAACAAAGTGTGACATACGTTGTTTGTCTGAATATTTGACTTCCGGGTTGTATATCGATTCATTGTTCCAACAGGTCTGGCTTATATCTGTGTGTATGAAAGCAATGTATATCAGTATCGCGGACTTGCAATGTTGCGGGTGAGAGCTATTAAAAGGCAAATAAAGATGGCTATCAGTCGGCTTTGAATAAACATCGGTAGTAATGATGCCATTATCCAAATGCAATGTCAGGTCTAATACATTCAGTATGTCCAGAGTAAACCAACTCAAACCTGATTGTGGGATATAGAGAGTTAATAAAATCCGTGAATTTTAATAATTCCGGCAGACCTGCTGTCCAGATGTCAAGAACATCGTCCCTATATCTCCACCACAAATTTGGACTGGTTCCATTTCTAGACTGGGTGAAATGCATATTCAAGCTAAGTCTAGAAATGGAACCAGGCCAAATTTGTGGTGGAGATATAGGGATGATATTGTTGACATCTGGTATATATATATACATACAGCCGTTTGCGAAAATTATGGCCGCTTCCAATATATATATAGAAGTATATCAAAAGCATGTCAAAAATTATGGGATATCTTCCATTATATTTTTTTCGAGTTGTCTATCACTAGGGCTTTCTGAAA